TAAACTTGCAAAAACAAAACCGACAATGTAAATTTCAAATCTGACGTCGATTTGAACCTCGATTCCTGATTGGATTATTCCAATAATAAAACGATGTGCATGTGACAAATCCCTTCAATACAAGCCTATCCTTTATCTCAGAAGCATACAAGGATAGTTTCTGATGCTTCCAAACCTCTATGAGCTCCAGAATATCATCTGTCAAAACAACAGGCTGCTGCTTACCGCTATGTCCTAACGGATTGACAGATCCATACCGACGATAATGTTCCATGACGTTTGTTACGCACCGAAAAGTTACGCGAAGCCGTTCAGAAACTTCCGTTTTTGTGAGTCCGCCGTTAAATAATTGTATAGTGTGTTGTCTTTCAGCAATCGATAAAGGTTTTCCTGGGGTGTACGGCCTTTGAAGACTATTCATCGCCGCCTTTTTTTTTGAAATATGCAACGTACTGTTTATTATTGGAATAATCCAATCAGGAATCGAGGTTCAAATCGACGTCAGATTTGAAATTTACATTGTCGGTTTTGTTTTTSCAMGTTTAAATATAAATTTGGAACCAAATTTGGAATAATAAATCAAGCCTTCCAACCTCGATAGGAACGCTTCAGTAGGTTTGGCTGTAATTATTGCATGCACCCTGATATTTTTGCATAATGTAATGTTGATAATATATTAGATATCTTACCCTAAATGCTTTATCAATTTCTTCCTTAGTTAAATGTAAACTTGCAGTGCTCAATTCCTTTTTGCGATTCTGCACTGTTCGGGGATGAGCAGAAAATCCCATTTGCATTCCAGCCATCAAGGCTTGTTGAGATGCCCCATGAGTTGACAAGTGAACACCACAGTCCAGCTGTAGCTTGTTGTTTTTCTAAATAACACATGTATTATGTTTTAGGTTTGAAAATTGAAAGTGCCTAGGATAGATTCATATCAGGTATAAATCAAGCTTTGACATATTTAAAGTACCTGRTTTTTGAAGTAGGAGAAAGTATGTAGGATGGACACAGTTCTTTGGAGCTGCTGTTGACTTCTTTGTTTAGATGTTTTGTTGGTAGTTATTATATTACATATCTTATCAAAGAGACCAGGTGTGCATCTTTCAGCAAACTTTCTCATCTCTTGAGGGTCATATAATGGATTTTTGTTTTTTTCATAGTATTTACTTAGCTCTTGGCTGAATGTAATAAACTGATCCTCTAAACATGGATCTGTTGAAATGTTTGTTAAAAGCTGTATTATTAAACAATAATTTAGAGAAAACCAGTGTGGAATTTTTACCTGAAAGCTTCCCTTTCAACAAAGTATTTTCTTGTTTTAGAACTTGGATCTCATGTTCTAGTTCAGTATTCCTTTTCATGAGCTTTTCAAGTTCTCCTTCAGTATCAGTCCTTTCTTTTGTATTGCTGATAGATCTCTAATAAAAAACATGATCAACTTACATTGACAATTGTACTTTTTGATTAAAGCTTTCACTGGAATATAAAATGTCACTTTTTGATGCACATTATAGATTTTAGCAATTTTACTATTTCCCTGATACAATTGTTGAAAGATTATTAGATTACATGTTTTACAGTGTTGTAACTTGCACTGTTTTCCCTGGCTTGTGTTACTT